TCAACTACGAAAATGTAAACGGTCGCTATAAAAAATATTTATAACCGTTCGAAAAGAACATAATATTTTACTGTACTATAATTGTACAACTATGATATCAATGGCCGTGCCATTACCGTGTTTATAAATGAAACGCAGATTTTTCCCGCGGTTTTTAGGCCTGACACCGTTGCGCTAATGTATGTAGTGTCCACGGTGCGCGTTTCCGGAAGTGTACAGCGTGAATACGTTTCCCCCGCAGCAAGGCCTTTACGCGACCATGAAATAATGTAATAAATGGCGACGACAACGCAGACAAAACCTCCAAATCTAACACACGTACACTGTTATAATATAGTATTCAGCGCAGAGCGAGTTATGTGAAGGTGGTTGGCAAACCGTTACGTAAAATTTAATTTCAATTCAACCTATTCAGACCCGTGGCGTCTATATATGATTAGGTCGACGTTAACGTTCTTGCAAGAAAAGAGAAAAAACAATACGCAATTTGTGTTAACTAAATCGTATGCGCGCTTGCTTATACAGACACACCGTTGTTGGATTTTGCGACCTTGCGCGTAACCAGCAAAATTATTTGTAAGAATAATGTCATAATATTCCACAGCTGTAGAATATTATTATTATAGTCCCGATGGGCGATGAGTTAGCGATTGGTTTCGAGAACGTTTTGCGCTCAATCGTCCGTATACCGCATTCCCGGTGCAAAGTTCGATAACACCGAGTTCAAGTTTAGGTGTGGGGTACACCAAGGCATATTATAATAATATCATCGTTGTCGTATAGAGTTGAGGTTTTCGAACAGCGGTTTCCGTGCTAAATGTGCGAATAAAATAATGTACATCACGATGTACGCGAGACGGAAAAACCGCAGCTGAAGAAAACGGCGGAACAATGGACGACTGCGCGTTCGGCGGGTGTATTATAATAGACGGAGAGAGGTACCTATATAAAATCATGGGAAAAATCACGGAGGCGTGTAAAACGAGCGAAAAAATCGAAGGAAGATGAAGAAAACGGAGAGGGAAAAAATCCGAAAGACACGCCACCGCGACTTCGCGACGTTGGTAATTATTGTATATATATATATACCTGAGCAAATTGTCGGAACGCATTGTGCCAGTTTGCTGACCAACCGAGCGTCTTCCAGAACGTTGAACCTGCGCGGTAATGACGACCCGTGAAGCGAAACGAAATTGACCTTGTTTTTTATTTTGTTTTTTTTTTCATCGTTTTTTAATTCTCATTATTTTCCGTCCGCGTACATTTGCGCGTTCTCGGTGGGAGCTATGTATATATTTATCTATTCATATATATATATATATATATATATACAAATATAGTATCTAGGTACTACAATGTATACAATATATCAATATATTATGTCCTATCAAACCTGTCGATTCCTTGGCTGTAATTTTTATTTCTCTACCGTTTCACCACGTCACAAATTGCCGCAGGGACCGGGGACCGGAATCATCGTGGAAACCGAAAGCCCCGAGAAAAGTCGTCGTCAGCGAGAAAGATCTATGCCGTATAATAGTAAGATGCTGTACCAGGAGGCGGCGATCGGGACCCGCGATCAAATTGCCGGCGACAGCGGGTAACGGGAATGCGAGAAAACCGGTTTTTCCGTGACAAGAAACAGAACACATCGCAGAATCGAGAATAATGACGATAATGATGATGATAATGATTACGATGATGCGATGATGATAATTATTCTCGAGGCGACTATATAATATTTATAGTTGATAAATTACAAATGTTTAATGCATACTATACACTATACAGCAATATCTGAAATGCGGAAACGGATATTTTATTTTCTTGCATTTGTCTTGTGATATTATATTGAAGTGAATTGTAAACTGTAAATTATTGTTGACTGCAATAGTATAGAGCATATTATTCAAAGTGTGAGTATTATGCATTTTTATGAAATACGGAATTCTTTTTCTACTAAGTTTTTCCGTTTGTTAAAAAAAAAAAAATATTCTGTGATAAATTATTTTACACGTTTTGCATACGCACTGTATCAAAAATAATTTTGAATCGTGCCACAGAGATATCGAAAGGAATTTTCTATTTCGGTACATTGCGACTTATTATATACTTATATTTGGAGACTAAACAACATATTTGCATCAATAGAAGGAAATTGTTAATAGTTTGCCAAACAACATCTGCTTTATTTCATTCTATCCAATATGCTATAGGCCTATAGATAGCGTTTTTATGACACGAATGCGCATTACTGATTTGTAATATGATGTCACGGTATACTTTCTTTTCTCCTTTCCGAAAATAATGATATATATCTGTATGGCTGTATAATATTATGTTATTGGTATTAGCTACAATTAATGAGCGATTTTCGAACGATGATTATTATTTCCCCGAGGAAACAGGATGGAAAAAATGTGTATCTGTCAGATTTTTTCATACTAAAATATATTTTTATTTTTATTTTTCTAAATTACATACGTTTTCAGACTTATAGATAATAATATTTTTTTGTAAATGCCTGTACTAAAAAAACTGAAATAAACACATAGCTTTAGGCCCTATTATTTTATACATAGTATTTCTTAACAAGCACTTTTGAGAGTTAAATCTACATATTTGATTCTTGGAGCAAATGTGCTGTAAATAATATTTTAATAACTGTTTACAAAAAAGGAAATAATTATAACATATATTTGCATAAATAAATATTGTAATTCTATAAAATTGTATTCTATCATCTTATCAAAATTGTTATTGTAAGTCATCATCATATTCAAAAATTATTTATGAAATTAAATAGTTTTTATATTATTTTTTGATTTCTTAAGAAAGAAATACTTATTTTCTGGTTCAGTGTTTCAAACTAAATGTATCTAATAATCATTTAAACTTTATCATAAATATTCATACTTTAACATCTTAAATCTTAATAAACCGTATTGGTTAAATAATGTAATACGATAAATTATTTGTTTTCCTGAATTTAATTAGGTATTTCATATTTACAAAGAATTATATTGATATGGTTATATTATGTACCGAATACTTATTATATTTCACGTTTTGACTTTTGGCCTCCTGTCGCGTCAAGTCGCGACGACGTTAGGTGATCATTATATTTACGAAGTATATATAAATGTGAAGGGGAAAAATCCTTGTCATATTTTTGGAACCACAGAGGTACACAAAAGAACTGAAAACATAAGGCGGGCAAAAATCGGGTTAAGTGAATTGGCAAACATTGTTTTTTATATATTTTTTTACTAATTCGTATTGTAATCATTCGCCGCGGGAACAGTCCACGCTTCTAGAATTATTTATAAGCGCCCGCGGTGACCAAAGGTTATATAAAAAGAACTATTTGTCACTATTATTTATACATTATACTTAGGGGATAAGTAGATATAGGCAGGTAGATAGTTATATACTTAAACAAGTGCATTGTGTATGAGATAATTATTGCCGATGAATAAAACTAAGGTGGAACAGAGATTTATTGGTTTTGGACTCTAAACTTCTAAGCACAATTGATCACAAGTCTACCGTAAACGACAAAATTCTGTAGCCCTCATAACTCTTTATGGGATTATGACTCAATAGACACTTTAACCAATGCATTTTAATATTTAAAACTAATTAGCCCGGGTTAACAGTAATACAATACCTATTGCAGATATATAACATGTGTTATACATAATATGATCTGTTGATGACATACTGATGACTGTGTCCGTAGTTAGATCGTGATTTATAACTGATGAAGTAAAAGAATGCAAAGAGGCCGCATTAAGTATAAGTCAATTATAGTAATGACTTGGACGAAATTGTTGATACTTTATTACATTCAAAGGAAATAACATTTTTGTAAAAACAAACAAGTAAAAACTATAATTAAACAATGACGAATCCTAGTCAAAGAAACAATAATTTATTGTATAACTGGGAAGATATTTTTCAGCTATATTGTATTTTGTATAGTGCGCCCAAATTTTTGTTCGATGAATTTGTGAAATTTGGGGTTATTTAAAGTACTCACGTTTGGACAATAAAAATAAAATATCGATCGTTGATATAAATAAATAAGTTGGAAAATTCATAGTTAAATTTTAGCCATATATCTACTATTATACTGGTATTTTTCTAACTTATATATTACAATTGGAATGCCTATGTTTATTAAAAAATTTAAAATCCTATACCGGGCGTTTAAGTTTCCTAATAGACAGCGGCATTTGGTCGTGCATACCAGCCGTGAGACAATTTATTAATGTGTTAAATATGATCACGGTATACAGTATACACTATAGGTGTTCCAAGTATATAAAATAGTATAATATAATATATAAATATACGTGGTGCCACAAGCAACCGCCGCATCTAAGTCTGATCGATTACTATATGGTTCCTAGAGCGTGCGAGCTTGGACACACATTTTTAAAGTGCGTGTGGTTTAAAATTATAGCATTAAAATGAATATTATAAAAAATTCAAAAAAAAAAAAAAAATTAGTACTTTTGGTGAAAATAATTTCACTGATCACAATTGCGCTATATATTATAAGGATATAATGTGAAGCACGTATAATGCCTGAACAGCTTAAAATAATGTTCTATGAAACATTTTTTTATGTACTTGCTCAAGAATACAATTTGATATTTAAAAACCAATAATTTATCTTGCGACCGTATTCAAAGAAAATACTCGGACAGCCTAATATTTAGTTTTGGAAAATAATTAATTACATAAACAGAAAACTATAAATATAATATTTAAAAAAAAAATTTGTTTGCGATTAAGCTGTTCTGGCGTTACGCGCTTCATGCGTACATCACGTTATACCACCAAATACAATGCAACTATATAATTTCAGTTTGGTATATTATAAATTATATTATATTATTGTTATTGAGACTATAGCACAATAAATTGTGCATACAAATAATTATTAACAAAATATCCTTTATAGTGATAATTAATACAGGACTGGGCCTTACCTTGTGATGTTTTCGGCACTGGTGTCTCTTGGTCGACTTTTGTCTGCGGCTGTGGCTTTGGTGACGGCGGTGACGGTGGCGGCGGTGGCGGCGGCAGATGCTGCCTCACGGGCGCAGGCGGCGGCGGCGGCGGCGGCGGCGTAGACTGGTGATGGTGATGATAGTGGTGCTTTAAAAACGGCGGCGGCGGTGACGGTAACCTGCCGTGGTGATGGTGGTCGTTATTATAGTTTTGCAGCGACTGTACCAACGGGTCCGGGGAAATGTGCGCATTTCCTTTTTGGTTTTCCAGCAGTTTCTGTTGCTGCTGGTGCAACCGGTTTTTGATGAGGAAAATCTTCGGCATTTCGGCGTGGTGATGGTGATTGCTGGGTCACGGGCAGTGGAATATGTTTTCCGCGCGACGGAGACGAAAAAAAAAACACGCGAAACAAAATTGTATATCAGGAAAGAAAATCAACAGTTATATCCGCGAATGTGAGATCCGCTCGCATCACTGTCAGCCGCGCCGGTACGGTGCGTAAAGAGCTGGTCGGCGACACGTCCACCATCGCAACAGTGTCATCATAATAATAGATCGTTTTGTACCGTGTAATATTTAGTGCTATATCCTTTTGACGACGACTACTGCAGATACAATGTAGTGTGAGTAGTACGTTTAAATAAAAACGGTAGTAAAATAAAATTTATATATATATATATATATATATAAGAATAATAAAAAACCGCACTAAAAATAAAAAAATGTATTAAAATAACGCAACGAGCAAATTTACACAACAATAAAATTTGTACGAAAAAATAATTTTAAAATTCAAAATAGTAATAATATAATGCAACGGACCAAACGGTACGTCTATGCGAAGTCGGTGCGGCGGTCGTCGGGTTGGACGGACGTGTCGTCTGACAAGCGCGACGGCGGAGAAACTTGAACTGGCTCGAGACAGCAGAGCCGTTGCCGGCGGCGCTCGGAGGCCCTCCACTTCCCGGACGGTTTCGGAGCTGCACCAGTGTGGGCGTGGTGATGGTTTACGCGGGTGGGGAGGTTGTCGGCGCGTTGGCTGTGGATGTGACCGTTGTGGTGGTGTGGGCGAGTGGAAGAGTAGCGGTACCGAACACCGCCTGATCGCGGGCACGTAGAAGACCGTGTCCGGACCACTGCCAAGATCATGGTTTCTGCGGTTGCGGCGTCGACGGTGGTGGGGGGATATGAGAAGAAACGGATTATATGGAATAATAATAATAATAATAATAATAATAGTACTGTATAATATGATAGAGAGGAAAACGAAAAATACTATAATATTAATAATAACGCGGCGGGGAAACCAGTCTGATGTAACCGGTGGCGCGCATGCGCGGGATACCGCCGCGGTGAACCCGTTCGACAGAACACGATATTCGTACACACACGCGCACAGCGCACACGCACACACGCACAAGCATGCAAGCAACAGGTATATAATATATATTATATTATATTATTATAGTCGCCGTCCTGTTATACCCTCCCTTTGACCGTATTTACCGCCGCGTTCCGCTCGCCTATCCCCGCCCACTGACTCACAGATGACCGCTCCGTCGACGACCGGCCCCTCATCCACCCACCGACCGCCGTCATAACCGTATTCGACGTGTACCACGACGACGACCGCTATAGTCCATCTTGTCTACCGTTGCCGATATAATAATAAATTTTATTGTGCTTTTATGGATTGTGTACAGAGCGGTTCAATAGAGTCTTAATCCGATTGCGATTTCGATATGGTTCGCAGCAACCGTAAGTCTTGTACATAAATGAATTTTGCAGGTCCATTCGAAGAGGGGGGCTCTGGGTAAATAATTAACTCATACTCCCGCGCCGCAAGGTGACTAAAGCCAAAAAAAAAAAAAAAAGGACCTGCTAGCATGATTTTATTAGAGAACATTAAGTTATTGCAAGTTGTAACGATCTATATTAAAATTTGATTATTTTAAGAATATTTTTAACTTCACTTCAACCCTATACCTCCATTTTTAAAATAAATATGAATTTTTGAAATTAGACGAAAACTTGAATCGCACTGTACATTATTATATATTTACATATTACTTTTTTTATATTTTATTTTATATTGAGCATATATAGTATGTACACTGTACACACAACATACGATATTATCGTTATAATTACTATACACTCTCCTCTCCGCAGAGACTAAATCAGTTCGACCGGTTTTGTATTCATTTATCCGCATAGGTATATACATATATTGTATAGGTACTGATATATACATATACACTATACCATATGTCTGTAGTTTTAGGTAGGTTATTTCTTTAGTTTTTCCATTTCTGTTTCTGTTTCTCTCTCTCTCCCGCTCTCTCTTTCTTTTTCTCTCTCTCTCACTCCCTCTCTTTCTCTTTCTTTCTCTCTCTCTGTCTGTCTGTCTCCGAAGATAAACCGGAGTGCCGCCACAGAGTCAATGTCAAAACACGGCAAACGATAAGTTTTACTTTTCGCCATTCGTTGTTTTATGTAGGTATACGTATGTATAATAATATTATGTGCTCCACCGACATGCATCATTATAAACTGTATAAATCGAACGTTCACTACTGCAATCTTCGAACGACCTACACTTATATCAAGTTATTATTATTATTATATTATCGTCATCTGTTTAAATACACTGCGAACTGTAAGATTTTTTTACACGCCGATTTAAAACGGTAGATCACACAGTTATTATAATCAAACGCGACGTCATCTATAAACAACACTCGGTGAATATTGGTCGCTTATGAAATGCGTAGGTTTAACCTTTTTTACGTAGGTATAACGAAACCATAGTTAAGAATTTATAGTTTATTGATTTTACCAATAACACTAAAATTATAGGATACACTACGATAATAGACGAACTTATAAGTCTATAGGTCCAAATGCAATCATAATAGTCTAGACTGCTAGAAAAAATATGCTTGAATAAAATAGCATTACTCGTTTATATTGATTATTTAATAATGTATAACAAATAAAAATAAATATTAATAACAAGACCAATATTTTATACATTGAATGTAATAAAAAAAAAAAAAACCTAAAAACTATCATTTTGCTGTTTATTTGCTGATGAGCTGATGTATGCAATAACTTTTGAATAAGTAACTATACTTATTATAAAAGTATAAAAGATGTGTTAAATTCATTGATGTATGATATCGTTGTACCTGTATATAATATGATAAATTATTTTGAGCGGAGGCGGTTTGTTATAGATTATTTTTTAGTAAATTTATGTTAGTAATTTATTTTTCTATTAGAAATGTTGGTACTTATAAATATAAGTTTTTAAACTTATTTCATCCACCACACCTACTTAGTTGTAGTTAGTTTGTACTGTTTGTAGTGTTAGTTGGTATATGTTGAATAATTTTTCGCTAAAAAAATTTTTAATTATTATAATTTTTTTTTGTATAATCTAAATCTTAAACGACTAATAAATGCCTAAAAAATAGTCTATGTTTGTACTTTAAAAATTTAATTGTGTACGGAAAATTATATAATATAAGTACTACCTATTAGAATATTTCAAGTTTAGATTTAGTAAAATAATATTTCAGTATTTAATAAGGTGATATATATCGACTTGAGATAAATAAACTAAATAGCAATAATAGTGTCGAGTATATAATATACTTTCAGTAAGGTGTTGCGTTGCGACTACCAATCGTTGTTTTAGATAAATTCTATAACTAATTCTTCTGCAAAAATAAAATTCAACGGTCATCAGAAAAAATGCTGGTATAGGTACTTATTGTATTTCAAGTAAAGTATTACAGCTGTAATGGCGTAATGGATAATAGGTCACTTATAATAGTTGAATATTTTTGATTTACAAATTTAAATTAAAAAACTGGTTCTAGATGATACATTGTGTTAAATTTACCTAACAATAATGATCAAAATTGAGTTAAAACAGCGCTTATATAGATATTTATATTAATTTTTCACGCAGTTGTTATCGCAATTTTATCGAACAAAATACCAGTTAATTCGAAAAAAACCGTTTGTAATGTTCAATTTTCGTGAATACAGTTATAAAGTACACATTTTTTTCAAGATTATAGCATTCGATACTCGGTATGTCCAACTTACTTTATATGATTATAATAATAAGTTATTTTTCTACAAATAAATATGCCTAGCTTTTAAACATTTTTTGCAATTTAAAAACGTCAAGTAAATATAAACATATTATACATTATATTAAAATGTAAGCTGATTTTAAATAATTGTTTGCTAATACCGAAAAAAAAAATTTTATTTTTGAAAAAAAAATAAAGTTTAAAAACATTTTAATGTGTGATACAACTGCAAGTATGCACTATAAGTATAGGTGTTTATCGTAAGTCTTCAAACTCCACTCATGTGAATAATCGATAAAGTGTATTCTTGTATATACATTACAAAATTTACAATTACAAAATGTCTAGATAAATAACGATATAACGAGTACCTAATACCTATATGGAATAAAAAAAAGGCAAAGGTTTTGAAAACAAATCTTCAAAATTAAAAAACATCTAAAATATTTTTGAAGTAAAAATAAAATGTTTTCATAAAACGTTGTTCTTTTGTCAAGTACAAATAAATATTTACCAACTATATGATTCGCTGTAGTCTGTAACGGTGTACCTAAACCTAACCTATCCTATACATCTTTCTTACCATACACACCTAGCTGCAGTGGTTTAGGAAAACTGCATACACATTATGTTAACTTAATCTGCTAGATAAATTAGATCTATTAGATCTACGCCTGTCAGTAGGAATATTTTTTTGGTTATTTGAACTTATTCAAAATCATTTATTCATCGTTATATAGCAAAAAAAAAAAAAAAAAAAATAAATAAATAAAATAAAATAATTAATCAATTAATTTAAATATGATTTTAACTTGATGTGAATCACAAAAAAGAAAAAAACCTATAGTGACCTGACTGCGTGCGTGCGTAGTTAATATACGTACATTATAATATAGTTATATATTTTACATAGTACATATTTAATATGAGCATAATATTATTGTAATCTTCTGCTTTAATCAGATCCACTATCCGACTCGCAGAAGCTTGGTAACACGTGCATAACGTGTACATCTTAATTCTTAATAATATATTATACACTTTGGTGCACACTGTATATATGTATGAAATATGCTGTTATCATACACGGCAATCTACAGTTTACAGATTTTTGATATAATAACAATATTTCACATTATTTACATTACCGTGTTCATATTATAGCTTACTCGTGCATTTTGATGTTTTATAACGGGTCGCGGTAGAGCTGTATAGCCTATGTTTTATTTTCGGAGATCATTAAACTGAACTGCGGATGAGTGCTTTTAATTTGCGTGCATTTCAATGTTTTAAATAATCTCAGTACACGTTACGGGTGAGTGTTTGTATAATAGGCGTTTGCACCGAAATTGTGGACAATTAAAATATTTCGTATAGGTCATTATCCTTTCTGTACACGCTCTTGCACTATAATACTACGTCTAATTCCGCCGTAAGTATATAGTGTGAATGTTTCCGAAATTAGTGGATAATATACACACACGCATAAATATAAAATATAAAATAATATGTGCTCACATCGAAACGTTTGAATTCAAAACAATGCAAAATATAAATATATATTTATATATTATGCAGTAAGGGACATTTGCAAAAATAAATTCAGGGTGTGTTTTTACTTTATAAAAATTATAGCTATTTTTTTTCAATAACCATATTTTATAAATAAAATTAATAATTCTTACAATATAATATATTTTTTTATAATATAGACATATTATAGGTTTAGTAAAAATAAATATCACAGAATTAAATCTATACTATCTTGCATTAGTGTTAACTAATAACCATAAAAAACCAACAATTTTTTGGGGTGTGTTTAAACAATAAATATCCATGACACTACTTGTGTACATGCCTGTATATAAAATATGTTAGACGTTATTACAAAAGCAATAATACTTTGTTCGCGATAATTACAATTATATATAAAAATCATATGATATACAGTATACACAATTATGCGTAAGAGACAGTGGTGGATGTTGATATATTGTATATGTCTTACAACTTACCCATACAACCATGGAATCTATGTGATTTATATCTTATATAAAGATAAATCTTTATATCTTATTTAGAATCTCAAATTGCCAACTTCTCAGTTCGCCGCCAAATGTATTGATTTTATAATATTTTGAAAATACTTCCATTTAGCCAACGTCTCAATTTGTCGATAAATATATCGGTTTTATTCACTTTTAACAATATTCCTAATTCGCTGACACATGACAATAGTATTAAACAAACTGATGTAACGATGAAATTGACAGAGATAATGTTAGTTTAATTTGTAGTTTTTTCAGATTAAAATCCAAAGAAATAATAAATAATATTAATAGAATAAATAGATATATTAATATATCATATAGGTTTACATAAACATAATATGGAATGATGATTATTGACAAGTTTTCATCAGTGCACGGGTATATATAAATATTGTGTAGGTACATATTATATCTATTATATTATGTATAACGATATCACTAATTTAGCTGGCTACCAGTGACATGTTGGTATTGTAACATTTGAATTCCAACAATAAAATATGTAGCCAGTATAAACAGTATAAATATAGGTATCTAGTTTATTTAACTATTTAAATTGTTTATACCTAGTCGTGAACTAAACTCTATATGGTTTTATTTGTATATAAATTTTCGTAGGTACCTAGGTATACTGCTGATGCTATTCGTTTTAATTAATATTGGTTGAATTAAAACATTATTACAAAATAAAAAAAAATTCTTGACGATATATTAGATGATAATAACAGATAAAACAAATCACCTGTAAATGTGCACATGTTAAAAATATATTATAATAGATAAATAGTATAATATCATCTACGAGTATAATGTATATTTTACTGATATTTAATGGTATTTAAATATTTAGTAGAATAAAATATATTGCACAATACCTGTTTATATTTTAATACATTTAGAATATTATAAGTACTTATGTGTCGTTTATTTATTACTGCATACTTTCAGAATTCAGTTTAATAAATTATAAATATAAATTATTGCAATATTATATGTATTTGTATATATAAGTATATAAATAGTATAACTTCTGTAAAAATGAAATAATTTTCATTATTTTTCACACTCATGATTCATAAATCATAACGTGTACATAGTAAAATGTGATAAACATTAACTATAATATATGTAATATTAATGATATATGTTTATTTTCATTTTTAGTTTTAAATCTTTTTGTTTTGGAACCTACACGTCTTATAAGTTATAGACACAATCAACAATCGAAAACAGTTGTAAAAATGTACATAATATTATTTATATTATTAAACATAAACTGGCAGCTGTTTTGAAAATAATAATATTGTCTTAATCAATGGTAATTATAGAGTAATAGAATACCATAAAAATGTAATCATTTTATGTATTTATCGTGTATATATTACTATTTTGGATATTTTGGATACTAAACAAGTTTTATGGCTCACTCACCTATAATATAGTGAGATCATTTTTAATAGTAAAATTGTGTATGGTTTGATAAACTATATAGAACTATATTTTTGTTTTTTTTTTATTATTTGGACCCGATTGTTTAAGAATTTAAAAGCAATTTAAAAATAGTTTGGATGTACACGATGGTGATGTCATAATATATAATATATTATATTATCTAACTACAATGGATATTAACTTACCTAGTTGCTGAATGTATGAGTTGTGAAAATAAAAATAACGTTTGTGACATTTACATGATAATTTAATATTGTATATAGACATAAGTATGCCTAGTATGGTCTAAATTCTAAAATCTTTTTTGCGTTCTACGCGTATTTTAACATATTATGTCGTTAAAGTGTTGCTGGCAAATAATTATTATTTTCGTTTGGTACGTTTATAATGAAAAACCGATATCGTTTTACTACTATCGTCGGTTATGGCTTATAGATAAGTATATGTATAATACAAAATAACAAAGATTGAAATAACATTCCAGTTCATTGTGCAGTTATATATATAAAAATAATATTTCAGGTATACATAATTAGTTTCATTTAATAATATTATTATTTCTCTAGTAGTGGACGTTAGAAACAACCGAATTGTTTCCTGGGATACGTACGGTCAATATTTCAGCGGCATATTATCGTCATCTCGGAAATATATTTATCGTTATTGTAATTAGGTTCCGGTGCGAAAATGGACCAATGCGATAGGCCGCTATTACCAAAAATACCTGGTATCTATCAGTCGTACTTGGTGAGTTCTTATTCATATTATCTAAATGTTTTATTGTCTACTAAGATTTTCTCAGAACGCTACAGAAGTAGTTCCTTAACGAATCGTATTTATACAAATGCGATGTATTACATGGTGCTAAAAAATTGTATACCTCATCACAGATTTTCATAAGTGTTTTTAGCAATCGCGTACAGTGATTCTAAAAGTCTGAGCTAAGGAAAACCGCAGTGTATATTTACAGTATAGATATGATAAGAATGGATTGGTCACTAGATTAAAAATTTGGATATTTTGAGCTTATTAGTTATTTATAAAAATTAACTTAAGATAAAACCCTTTATTAGAATGAGTATGCTACACAAAAGCAGTCTGTCTCTACTTTAAATTTCGGACCGTGAACCTTTAGTTTACTAATATAAAAGTGACCCATCCATTCTTATATCTAAAGTTTACAGAGATGCCAAGAAATATTATTATGGTTTAAAACAAATTGAAAAATCAAAAGGCGGCATCGGCTACCTTATATGATTAGTCATGCTTTAACTTGGGAAGGGCAACCCGTGGGAAAACCTTATTTTAAACATGATACCAAGTGTCAAAAAAATCTGGGTACCACTGTCGTATAAATTGACACCTGTCTTTAGGCTAAAATTATACGATTTTTCCTTCGTTAAAAAATAAGATCAATTTAACGCAAGACTATCCAAACGCTGGCGATTCTGATTATACAAAAGATAAATATTAATAAATGTTTCACCTGGACAATGTCACACAGGTGCCTACACCAAAAGTGTTGCATTATTTCATTGACATCCTCGAGTAGTCGTAATTATTTATGTATCAATCTTCATATTATAATAAAAATAACTAAAATGTATTATGCTAGTATAATATAATGAAGTTACGGAGAATAAATTAAAAAAATATTTACATTTACCAAGATATCGATAGTACTAACAGTACAATGTTTCTATTATTTTTTCTCGTTCTTCCCAAGGACTCCTAATATGTTCTTTAATTTTTAATAGTGTTCAAATGCGACATATACGCATATACATTTTTCAAAGAATGTTTGACACTTTTTTTTACAATCGAATTATGATTTGACATATTATTATTATCATTATTGTCTCGACTGTATCATTCAGACCGGGTGAGACAACGCGTGTATATATATTATTATATGTTTCCCACGTTGAAAACCGTCCATCATTTCATACCAACATATTATACTTATAATATAATACATCGCTGGTTGGCTGCAGCACGTATTTACAAAATAGGTATATAATAGTATGCAATATCGTATTATACGCGGGTATAATCACGTATGCTAGATTAAACATCGAACAAATCAATTTTCCAAACTCGCAAAAAAAAATTGTGTAAAAAATGATGTGAAGAAAAGAAAAATATTCTTCGAAATATTTTCCTATATTTTCATGTATATACGTTTGATTTGCTCTCTCGCATATATTATTTGCGTATATATCGAACGTATATATATATATATATATATATATAGAGACGTACGTATATACAGCTGTATATTATGTATAACTCTGCCTACAATAGTACATCGTATGCGCGACGGTACATAACGCAAATTTTCACGGCTCCGTTGTTTGTTGTAGTCATTATTTCGGTTCGCTATGTAATATAATAATAATATATCCTACGAAAAACTGCGGGCCGCAAAGAGTAACGACCGAAGGTCACAGACCATAACAGTGTAACGCGCCACGTACACGCGTATATATATATATATAATATCATATTTATTGCGTTATAACGAAACGTGAATTCGTCTGTGCACAAAGTCTTTGTCATAGTTTTGGCGTTTCCGCTTCCGGTCCGAAGACTGTAGTAATATTTATTATAATTTTTAATCAATACATTTCGTAGGGCATTATATCAGCGTATCTCGGTTTTAGAGCACTCAGTTCACGGGCAAGTCGGGATAGGCGTACTTAGTTGTACTTGGTGAACTAATTTCATTAAGATGGGAAATCCGTGGCTGACTTGATATAGCATCTAATATAGTTTAAAATATAGTTCAAATTACTATTAAGATTTTTCTGTTAAATTTAAAACTTTGGTCCAAGTTGAATCTAGAAGATACAAAAATAACGCTTGACCTTTTTTCGTACATTTTAATAGTAAATAATATAAACTAAATATTATTTTATTTTGTTGAAAAAAAATCCCATAGAAATGTACAATAGTTTGGTTAAGCTATACCAATTTTTTTTTTTTAATTTTATTTTTGTAATTAATAAAAACTTCGTACATAAACAAAAATGTATTCAATTTTAGTGAGCCTATAAATGGTGTTTGTAGCAGAACAACCGTATATCTATATAACCGTGATCTATAGGGGTTGAAAACAAATTTTCGATTGTTATGGAGTATAGCTATTACTTATTAATATGTTAAAATTTAATTGAAATCAGAAAAGAAGTTTTATCTGAGGTGCATTCAAACATAAACTCTTCAGCTGCATAATATTAGTATAGATATGAGTGATATGATGTATACCCATAACCTACACTATAACCTGTCTGCATACGAACTGAGTCTCCTAAATTTTTAAAAAAATATTATCCTTTTAAGCTAGGATTGTTTATATGAAAAATAGTACAAGTATAGATACATTTTTTTTCATGTTTGAAAATATTTTATGAATTTGTTTAGTGTACTGCATTACTAAGTTGTTTAAAATAATTAAATAATTAAATGTAATTTCTTACATCGATAAAATCTTAAGCAACAAACATTTTATGTATTGAAATTTTGATATTTATTTTGGTATTTTTTCTGTAATTTAATTTAATATATTCACAATACCATTTGCATTAGTTAGGTTTATAAACATATCCAACACGCGAATAGAGATTCCGTTTTTTTTTTATACATAAATATTAAATATATAACATGGTTACTTGTATTTTATATACATTGATTGTGATTTTTTACAGTTGCAGGTGTAAAGCGTTGTGTTATTTATATTTATATGCGTGACATTATTATCGTATTAAAAAGTTACAATAGCTCTCACCATCCTGTCACACGGATTGTACCTTCTATATTAAGATAAATTATAAAATATAACGTGTAACGTGATGTGATATGGATAAATTTTACGAATTCGTCAATTTTTTTTAGTACGTTTGGAAATTGTTCACAGATTATTTTAAAATTACATGTTATAATTCCAATCAACTAGAGTGTAAATCTGTAGGTTGTGGTACATACCTATGTAAAAATAGAATTACTGTTGCCTTTTATCAGCTTAGTTTTTCCTATGAATGAGCCAAGATTATCAAAAAATCTAGTTGAACACAATAGTAATGTTATAATGAACAATACTCGCGATTTTAAACGACATTCGTTTTGTAATTGACGGTTTATACATTTACAAGAGCTAGATAATATAATATGCACACATATATTATTTAATAAATTACGATTCACGGCCTTTACATTTTTGCAGGAAATTAAAGATAAATATCCAATAGGGAGTGATTTAGAATGCATCGACAACGTGAGATTCATAAAGTCGATAGAAAAAAAAAAAGAACCCTTGTTCTGTGATGCAGACGTAGCCATGGTGATGTTAGCCAAAGGCCACAACGTCATCAACATGCGCAACTGGTTGGCGTTTGACGATAAAGAGGTAAAAGAAAAAAAATTTATTTATTTTAGAAGTATAAACCAACTAACAGACGGATGTAATAATAAAAAATAATAGCTAGTATGCGTTTAACACCGGACAAGCACACGCTGTGTATTGAATAGGTATATATAACATTATAGTATATTGGTTAGCCGAAAAGAGCATGACGTTACACGATATTGGAACGCATCACGAGAAGGAAAAATAATACACGAGTTAGGTACCTGTCAAATATGTACATAGATAGTATTTCACGGTGTAATTTAATATTTCGTTGATACATGTTTTATTTATACACGTTACAAAATGATTCCAATCGCGGGCAGCAGATTGATGGACTAGATAGGTTTAACTGTGTATAAATAAATGTGTATGGAATTATTTCTGAATGCTCTCGAGTTTCGATTATTATCGGTTGCCTCGCAGAAATTTTGCAGGTAGCTCTATATAAGTAGAAGGTTAGCGAGGGCAGTGCGTGTGCACGAGAAATGTACTCCGATCAATGCTTCGGCGTGCGAACGGTTCATTTTAGTTGTTTTCTTTATTTTTTTTCTGTTATGCGAAATTCGATTTCATTACGAACAAAGTAAACGTCCGTTTCTGTGAGAGTTTTGGGTATCGTTTTACTTATTGGTTTCGGTCCGTTTTAAACGACACGACTGTACGGTTTGTGTACTGAACTAGAATAGGTACCTACATCAATATAATCAATTCTACACGATTCGAAAATAAAAAATAAATTTATATTTATAAATGAAGTAATGAATAATATGTGTTGAACAAATATATTATTATGTTGTACATCATAGGTTCTCACTTTTTACGCATTTTACAAAAAGTCGGGACGCGGAAGCTCCGGAGGATTAGATTACATGCTAAAAAAGCTGAAGATCATTTATTTTTTGGTGGACGAAACAATTCAAGTAAACGAACCGACGAAACCAAACAGCGGCTATCCACAAGGTTCTTACCTATATAAATAATCGAACCTACTTAGTTAAAAATACATAACGGGTTTTAAATAAATAAATAATTCAAATTTTATAAAACACAATTAACTTAAGAAAAAAAAAAATAACGATCATAGAATAGCATTGTAATATTATATAGTAACTAAAGAAAATTTAAACAGGTAATTAAAAACATTGAATAATTATGATACAACTCATATTGATCGAAATGAAATGTTGAAGGGTAATAACCTTTCCTATTATAAAACTCGTATAACAAGTTTCAAATAAATATGTATTAAATTTGAAAATTACATTTGTTTTTTATTATACTAATTAAATCGGCCATAGGTTGTTTCATAAAAAAACAAAAAATACCGTTACCTGGCTGTGATCAAGAAACTGGGCCCTATTACAGGCTACCCGATTTGGTCGTCGGCACTACAGTGATATTTTATGGAAAAGAGTTAAGAATCACAGGTGTCGACACATTTACTAGAGACTTCCTGCACACGATGGGAGTTCCTGCGAAAGACAACGAACAGATTCCCGAAGATCCATATTTTGAGTACAGGAAAAAAGTGAAGTACTGTATTATTTTGCAATGCGATCAATATATTTTATTGTTATATATGTGGTCATCGGAGTATTCCGGATAATGATAATAATATAATATTTTCATCGCAACAATATTGGTCAATAGCGTTCTAATGTTATATGACTTTTTTACAGACCGATCTGGATATAACGTTAAAAAATAAACCGAATTTAACTCGGAACCCACCTCCTAATGGCTACGACAATCTGATCTTGCGATTTAGGGGCTATTGGGACGACCGTAATCAAATTGAAGGCGAACTGCATTTCTACGAAGTTCTTTATTACCTTGCCGACGACACGATGGAGTTAGTTGAAGAAATCATTGATGAAACCAAAGTCACTGGGATACGTCACAAAATGATTGTGAGAAGACAACGGTTACCGACAGTAATCATACATTTTATTATATAATAAATATATTATATAGATATAGGTAGATATAAATGTTATGAGTTAATTCGACTGGGCCCTGAACACCGAATGATAAGACAAAACAGAGAAACATTTTACAAGTTTTTACTTTTATCGAATTTTAATGGTACGATTATTTTACAGCGGTTAGCATGTGTTTCGAGACCCATCGTCGTGTCATATAGGTACAATATAGTATTAAATACTATTGTTTAGACGTGTTTGTTTCATTTCCAGGAAGGCCCGTGGTGTTTACAACCTGGCTACAATGTCAAACAAGACATACTGAATGTTATGTCGACAAACAAAAATTCGTTTTACTATACTATGGATACTCAGCTTGGGGGTAAAGAAAATGTGTCATATTATCATTGTACAGATTTGTTCATCGGACAAGTTTTAAACGTGTATGGTCGTTCTGTCGTATTGTTTGCATGTGATGAATGTACTAAAAGCTTTTATAAAAATGTATACCAATTAGGTGAGTATACCTAACAGATTAAAATCGAATTTAGAAAATAATAGTATTATAACTCTATCAACTATCGATTAAATTAATATAATTTGTTTACACTGTCGCATCGCATTAAAAACAATACTAATGGATTTTTATTTGATTTTTTACACTGGGCACCTACTGTACAGCAAAACGTTTACCTACTTTCCCTCTCAAAAAAATTACTTTCAACATTACAATGATAACGGAAACATATATACGTGTTGATAGGTATCCTGGGTATACACATTACTATTATTGTGCTGTTTCTATAATACATATTACACATAGTCAAAAAGTTATTTTGACTTTAAAATATTGCATTACTATAATTTCGTAAATGCATGTACAAGACTTCTTGAATAAGTTAATACTCTAATTTTAGAATTTTTTACGTTTTTTACGTTTTTTCAGTAAATTTAATATAGTATTATTATATTAAAAATGTAATTTTTGTTACTTTTGTGTAGTTATAGTTAATTTACGTGTTTATAATAGACATTATTTATGCCTAATGATGATATGTTATATTTTAGAAACTTTCAATCCAATAGAAGCCCCTAAAACAATGAAGGAAATTGAAGAAGAATTTTTGAATCAAAAACGAGTAGAAATAATTTTGAAGAACTATGATGAAGTACTGAGGAAACGTTTGATTAAATATGGAGGTACAGGAATAATATTTGGGTTTCTCATTAAAATGATAACCGATGATCCAATTAATAGAGGAAGAAATTTCATGTTGAAGTATTATTTAGATGACACAGAATTCGCTATATATGAATATAGAGAAACAAATTCAGGTAAGTTTTAATTCTTAAGTATTTTACACAATGTTCTCCAAGTATTTTCTATACATTAAATAATTTAAAAAATAAATAAAAAATAAAAATAATTATATTAATATAAAAATACTTAATTTTATAAATCTGATAAATTTATAAACAGAAAAGATTTGGATTTTACAAATATCGTCAAAGCTCAAAATCATAAAAATTTCGATTTTTTTTTAAGTTTAAAATGTATTTATAATTATATTACTTTGAGATTTTGAAATTCAATAAAAAGTTTATCAATATTATATTGACTAGAAAAAAAATGAGTAATTCTACAAGTATATTTTATAAGCGCCTGAAGTCAAAATGTAGATAAAATTATTATTAATTTTTTTAATATTTATATTTTGAATTTTTTTTTGAGCAATTTAGCTATTTATAGACGCTAAAAAATTGAGTTTTTAAAATAAATTTCTATAAAAATGTTGCTTAGTCGTAAACTTGTAAAACTTACAAATTGAATACAATAGTCCTCATAAATATTTAAAACTTTAAAATTATTTTTTTTTAACTTTTATAAGTTAGTTACTGAAACCAAAAACTCTAAAAAAAAATACTATAAATACAATGTTTTTGTGTTAAAATCTTAAGTTAAAATTTTAATGATATTATAAACTTAAACGAAGAATGATGATTTTAATAATTTTGTTCGAATTCGAAAATATTTACTATAAGGATTTGAAACTATTATGTATATTATTATACTTCAATGTACACAATAATATTTTAAAAATATTTAAAATAATTTTAAGTCTAATTTTAACCTAACCGTATAATGCTTGCAATATTACTAACAATATCGTACAATAAATATTACTATTAGTAAATACTAAATGGTAATAGAGGGATATAAATATATCATAAAATACACTTAGTAATAACTAGGCTGATATACCATCTTTACCAAGAATCATTTTTTTTTTTTATATAATTGTGAATATCATTGAATTCGAATAACCTACATACATATTACAGCGATTATTACTAATTATTTTGAATATACTCAACACCTACAAGTTACCATTGTATCTAGAGCCGCTACCGTAGAGTGGTTACCTATACTTCCCCTCTTTTATTATTTTGATTTTTATCATAAATATTTTATCAGATAATATCATATAATATGTATTGTTGAAAATAATTATTTATTACTCTTATTTTTTGGTATGGGTATATTGTTTTGTTATTAATTTATACTGTTATGATTTTTCCAAGGAATGCGTGGCGGAATGTTTCGTTCAAAACGTGGGTTTAGTGAATACCAAAACCAGGCGGATTTATTCATTTTTCATCAGTTAGCGGTAGGAGTTAATATTTGTATTGACGAATTCAAGTTTACTATTGTAGATATCGACGATAAGACATTGCAATTCATGATCGATAACCCAAAAGAGGTAAATATGAAAAATATCAAAGAACTCTAATATAAAATTAATATTTTCAGTTCTCACACAGTAATTTGACAACAGCCAGAAGCAAAACGCTTGAACTGATAAACAATCGATTCCAGAGTTTGGACGAATTTCGAACGAAATATTTTCAAGATCGAGAATTGGTGGATAGAGATGAATTCAGAAACGTTTTGTCCTTTGAAGGAGAACTTAATCCTCATATTGGAGTTGTACTTGCACTAAAGTACAAACGCCCAGATCCATATGAACCTTTTACAGATAATGTACTAAGAAGCGCAGTACAAGACGCAATGAGAAAAGGCGGTTTTATACACTTTGACGGTTTAAAAAATAATTTTAGATCAAGAAAATCGAGATCTGACCAAGCAGGATACATTGTATGTAGTGAAGTAATTAAAGCGATGAAAAGCAATAAAGTCCCGTTGAATGAGGAAATAACTAATATTATCGTTAATAAGTAAGCATTGAAGAATATGATATGCTCATACTTAAAATTTCGTCCATTTTAATTTGAAAATTAAAACCTGTAATCTCATATTTTTTAGTGTACCGAAGTTATATTGTGATAAGTTGATAAGAGCAGATAACACTGCTTCATAAAATATTGTTTAATTTGTTTATTTCCAATCGTGTATGAATTATTATTAAACCTACATATTAAATTCAGAATTGACAATATATAGGTCCTATCAAATATCGTTAAATAATTTTAAGCTTGTGAACAATTATTTTTTTTAAATGCAATTTTTGGTATAAACAATAAAGATATATTTATAACCAATATAATATATTATTTAATCAAGTTAAATCCAGCTTTATTTTTTTTTTTATTTACTATATTATTTTCGTTTATTTTTTTCAAATTAATTTTCGTTGCATCCACGTTGTTACTATAGTGTTTATATTAATTTTCGATGGTAAACATAATTTTATGAATAAATTATCGAACGACTGATTGTTTCATTAACGTGGAAAATAACAGTTGACGATGTTACATTTTTATTCATAAAAATAAAACTAATTTTTTTCCCATAGTTAAAATTTATTTACAAACATGTTTAACGATGCGTATAACACTATTATATCGTATAAATTAATTGCTGTTTCATAATAGATCGTAATATGTCTACAATATTTAATTTTGTTGTTTACTGCAATAATCAATATTTTAAATTCGTCATGCGTACTGTATAATATAATATCATGTTTGTTAGATAGTATTATTCTAATACTGTAGAATGTAGATTGATATAGTTTGGATGATTAATGATAATTGAAGTAGATTTTTTTTATTTTCATCGCTTGTAATTTAAATCAAATCCATAGGTAGGTATGCCTATACGACTATACGAAACGCATTATCAGATCAAATTCTGATCAACAGAACGCCTCTACATGCGACATGCCTATATATATACTATATATAATATATTATATTATACTGTTATAGATTCACAGATACAAAAAACGGCTGTACTGTAAACTTCGAAGACATGGTGGAATTCATAGATTATGTAAAAAATCCGGTGGAACCTCCATCTAGATTGGCCAGAGTAAGTACACGAACATCCACACACACCACACACACACACATATATATATTACCTAACTTATCACTCAAGCAATTAAGCTTGGCTGTGTCCGCTACTGAATAAACCGCATAGTTGCAATACACGAATTGTTTTGTGGTCGTAAGTATATCCGTGATGATGATTATGTGTTACAGGAACTGTTGTTCGTGAAATCCAAAAAGGTTTTGGTTCGAGTGAACGAGTTCATAGATGACCTGCGGTCGGAAGCGTAATAAATATAGTAATCATGGCGGAAAATTATATTTCGGTCAAACCATAAAGTTTTAAATTCGCAAATTTAATTTAAATAAAAAACTTTGTGTCCAGTCTGTATTATTTTATCACACACCCAGTTAGCCACTATTGAACATAATAACAAAAATAAATTCAATATGAGCATCATCGGGTCTGGCCTGCAAGTACCTACCTACGACATATTATTACGATTGAAGAATGCCAATTTGACATACACCACGAAGACGACTACTATTCGGAACACGTCGCCCGTCGTTATATTAATAATATAATACATTAAATATTAATATCAATTATTATTGTGAGCTCGCACACCAGTGGTTATTGTGCGTGCGTCTGCGCTTCATTAACTATTCAGGAAGCGATGACCAATATTTTAATTCGACTGACGCGAGTTTTTAGCGGACAAACGCGCGTATCGTGTGTTGTTGTTGTCGTTTTTGTATATATATTATTATATTTAATATATTATATTTTACGTGTACGGTGTACGCATTTTACCAGTCTGACCGGCCTTGGTGGCGGTCTGCACAGTGAGTGGGTCCTATACTCCGAACGAAGAACGGTGCCGTCGCCACTGCCGTTTCAAGAAAACCGCATTATTTTATAGTTTCCCGACACAGAGGTGCCCACAAGGTCATGTCAACTACCAGACTGGTGAGATAAGTAAAACTGGTTATGGTTTGAAATACATACGTATAATATTATAATATAATATACATATTATGCTTATATATATTTATATATTATATATCAATACACGTTTGGAGCTGTTTAAGTACATATATATAATATGAAATGTATATACATCATACGATATTTGACTATACTCGGGCATGGGAAAACGGAAGCGAAAGGGAAATCCGGAACTCTGTGTGTACACCATCAGGACACAACCCTGCACGTTAAAATAATTATCAATACCTGTATGTATCATAACAGAAATGCATACGTCCTATCGTAGCCGCTTATACTCCAAAACTAATAGCTCGAAAACGCTTCATTTCCTGAGTGTAGAATAACCATTCTTTGTTAAACGTCTTCTTTGGCCCGCCAGAAATAAAATTAAAGCACCGAAATGTGTTTATAGTAAGATGTTAAGGTTTTATTTATTATTTTGTATTTTTCCGAAATAAAGAAATATAGAAAATAAGAAAATAAAGAGAATATAATACGATTACTGTAGTTTACTTACACAAATGAAATACTTCAGTGATTTTTGATCTTTGGTTAGGTGGAGTGACCAAGTTCACGTTTAAAATAACATACACATAGGTTATCTTAGTTGGTTACAGTAAACAGTGTATCTATAATATGTTCTCAGTAGCGTTATTCGAGGCCGATGTGTGCGTTTTCTCCTGAGTAATTTTTAAATTATCCTGATTTTTTTAAAATTTTTTTTAGATCTACTTAATATTCTTACTTAAGGATTTATTATTATTATAGTTAATTTAATATTGTCATTACTTGTAATTATATTACTATGAAAATAGGTATAATATTATCCATCGCTATATCAGTTTTTACTTTTATACATTTAACTATATTATTGATTAGTATGTATAATCAGTTAATAAAAAATTATAAATAGGACATAATACGAATATATACTTCGATTATTTTTAAAGGCTTGCTGTCGCAATTTTTTCTTTCAATTAAAATATCTATCAGAAGTGATTTTGCTGTATGGCGCAAGTGTCTGATACAGCACGATTATTCTATAGCATAAAATTTTGATATACAATTACACTGAAACACTGACCTGTTCACACACAAACCGTTTCGCACTACCGTGAAACGTATATAAATCTCGCCGTAATATTATAATATAGTTGACCGCCATATCGTTAATCGCCCGAGGAGCGAGAAAACCTTCGTTCCAAATATTTTGGCATACAGCCAGTGACCACGGTTGCAAAGCGGTAGTATTCTAAATCCTGAAGGTTTATTCCTCTCATATACGTGTGTACACGCCCCCGTGTACCTATACGGTAAAATATTTGTATATTAATAAATTTTATACAATTTGATTTCGCGTTTTACGAACCGTTTATAATTCAGCGGATAAATATACTGCGTCGGAAGCTGTTAAACTGCGAGCTGTTACATATTATCAATTATCGATTTATTGGAACCGTATAATGTATATACACGTACAGGATAATGATATCATGGCTAGAATATTTTTTGAACATCTATAGTACCTATCTATTTTAGTAGATTCCAATGTTTTGATTTTATGTAAGTGAACATTACTCGTAAATATACGACAACAAAGTATAATACATGTATATATATAGTACTTTATTTTATTAAGGCTGAAAATTAAATAAATTATATCCTTTAAAATTAATATTAATGTGAGTTACAAATGAATTTTATTTTCAATTTTTAACTTAACTAGTTACTTTTGGATTTTTGTTAATTTAACTACTGGATCAATTTATATGAAATCAACTAAATACATTTTAAATTAACTTAATTTATTTTATTTTTAACTTTTAATTTAATTTAATATTATTTCAATAGATTTCGTTTTTGTATCAAAAAACATTTTGTGTTTTGTTTGGTGAGAATTGTTTTTTATTAATGTCAAGAAACTTCTATGGGGTAGGTACTAGTAAATTAGGTAGTAAGTACTACTGCTAATACCGTATAATCACCATATAGTTTTAAGTTGATACAAAATCGAACTTATCTAGCTCTGCTTGTTTATACAATTTTTCAAAAAATATTTTCGCAGATCTATTTAGTTAATATAATTAATACGCGTACGAGTTTAATGAATATAAAACGTATGAATAAATAATATATGTTAATCGTATATTATATAGGTACGACAGAGTTTTTTGAAAAACTTGAAGAATCATTGCTATCAATCAAGTTTGTTTAAAATATATATTTATACATATAAATAATATTTTTACATAATTTAATTTATTATTACAAAAATTAATTTTTGTATACCTATAATTACGTGTCCTCTTCAAATGTACGACGAGTATGGAATGAAGAGACCTAAGGGTCTCCTACAAAATGTATTAGTCCACTATTTTGGGACTTATATGTCATAATAATAAAAACTAGAATTTTTTAACATAGTTTTTTCTAAAGACACCAAATTACTCTCAAAAAATATCAAATTATTTTGTCTCTTTCAGGATAAGGCGAGTGTTTGATGTCAAAAAAATATATATAAACCTATATAGTATAAACTACAACACATGAACACACTTTGTATATTGTACTATATACAGTACTAGTTATAATGTCGTTATAGATTTGTAAAGTGTATAATATACATAATTTGTATACCTATATATGTATTGACATTCGATGTGTTTTTGCACATGTATACTGTATTACAACGACTATATACACTTATATAGTTATATATTTTAACATACCATTATTCATGCCTTATATACACACTTATACACCGTGACATTTCCATATGGTTCTATAGTTTTGTTGTTTTCATTATAGACATCACTATTGCAGCCAACGGACTATATGTATTATTATTACACCAGTGTACACGTTTATTCGCACGAGTTTTTTTTTTTTTGTTTTATCATTCTGTTTCTTTTGAAATGTTTGCAACACCCGCGGGAAAATTCAATGTTATTGTACATATATTGTATATATTAGGTACCTCGCACATTAATCAACTATATAAGAATTTAAATATATAATACAGGTGAGTAGTGGATATATAATATAGTTAGGTATACGACATTACAAGGAGGAGTCTATATAAACAACAAGATTATATTAATGTACCGTAGCAGTAGCGTTATATATAACTGGCAAAAATGCATCAAATGCCCCGCCCTATCTCCCACTGAAATTTGAGGAAAAAAAATGTTTAACATTTTAAAAATGAATAACCACAATAGGTAGGTAAGTACTATAACTACTATAAGTACCTTATACCTTTTATATCGGTAGAACAGATGTGCTTTGTCTGAAACGGTTAAAACTTAAACATATATTGATTATAAACGTTTATGTACCTACATGGTTTCTTGCAACAGTATACATAGCACATACCTATAGTTTATAATATTTATATAGTTGGATTGTTTTCCCCTCGTGCTTCCCCGCGACCAAGTCAGGTTTTTTTACTATATGGCCATATTAAATATTTCCAACGATGTTTGCGCTATTATAGCTACGTAAATTATAGGTAAGATAGCTACAGTTACGCGGATAAACATTTTATTGACAAAACGTTATTTTCTATGTACATCTTAAAATTTATTATTGTTCGATTGTATATTATATTTTATTATAATGACGCGTGTTTATGTAAATTTCGGAAGAGTGACGATGAATTTCGTTTCAAATTCTTTGTACCTATTAATTTTTATTCGTCCATATTATAGGTATAGGCATCGTGTGATATTATTATTTTATGTCCGTATCGCGGTTGAAACTTAAAACGTTATCGCGCGATATTTTATTTTCTCACATATCATCAATGCGGCGTTAAAAAAATAAAAACAAAAAATAAACCAACAAACAAACAAACAAAATAAATAACATATACACCTAATTCGGGGGTGGTCCGAACACGGCGGGTAATATAATATTATGCTTTTCGCCCGACGCCGACGCCGTTTGTTTCCCGCAATTACACCACAGGGGCGGAGTGTGCACTTGTTCGCCGGCCGCCAGGCGAGAACATAATATATTATTATTATAATTCCGACCGAATCCATCCGCGTTGCTGAATAACGCGTAAATATTCGTTAGGTATATTATACCCATACGCTATATGTGCGCTCGCTTCAGATGGAATCCCCTCGGACCGTTCGTATTGTATTGTATTGTATTGTATAATAATACGTGCAGTATATAGGTATACATATAGCCAGCTAGTGGACGTCGCTGTGCGCATCGAATCGATCTCGTTATATTATTATTATATTGATGCGATGGCCAATGGAATTCCTAAGACGATATAGGAGGCGTA